TTCATTGCCCTCCACTGGAATACGTGCAATACTGTTCACCAGTCGTTGATGCGCTAGCGCCTGGAGGTCGTCGCGTACAAGTTGTTGGCTCATGTGGAGGAGGTCCCCCGTCCTTGGGCATAGGAACGCGTTAGTAAGGTCATGCAGCTCGTTGATGTGGTGTTGTTTCTGGCGTCGGAGCGACCAACCTGTCCGTCGTTGCACTAGGACTGCTCTTTCGCGGCGTCGGTGTGCTAGGAATCCGTGCCAATGGCTGGGGATAGCATTCGCCCAGGCCAGCTTGCGCCCCCCCCCCCCCCCCCCCCCGACCGTATAGTACAGCGTAGAAGCTCTTCCAAATCGCGTCTGAGAGATGAATGATTCGCTGGCTGGACATCTGCTTCTTCAGGTTGCGCTTGTCGAGGAGGATGCCCTCAGTGATGCTGGATGTGGCCGGAAGTTGGTTGGCCCGAGAGCAGTGGATGAGGGTGTCCATGAAGTGGGACTTGGCGTTGGTGTAGTGTGCGGCTGCGTCCAGTACGTTGTGTCTTCCGTCTTGTGCTCGTGTCGTGTGTGGGTGTTGGTCAGGGCTGTGGTCGAAAGTCGGCAGGGCTGGTGCTGGTTGGGGGTTGCTGTCAGGTGTTGGTGGATGTTCGTCGGGCGCGGGGGGGGGGCTCTCCGTCGAGGTCGTCGAATGGGTCAACGTCAGGTCTGTCCATGGTCGTGAGCGCCTCCGTTTGTTCGTGGTGGTCGGCGTCGGGCTGTTGTAGTGGTGTCGTTGTAGTTGGGGCAGAAATGTAGTGGATGGTGGTCGGTGAGTTCGTCGTCGGCGTCAGAGTGAATGTGGTCGTAGGCTCAGCTGGTGCGGTGGTGCAGTAGCCCAAACCACCGCGCGTGGTGGGCGTCTTTGCCAGGTACGTCGGGTCGAGCGCCATCAGAGCCACTTCCACTGGTGCACTCCACTTAGCTGTGCTGCGTCGTTTTTTTGCCCATCGTAGTCGAAATGGAAGTCGTTGGTATAAGGTGCCAGCCGTGATCTCAATAGTCGCAGTGCGGATGCGCAGGAAGTCGTCATCTTGGATAGAAAGAAATTAGCCAAGTTCGGCTCGTAGATCAATGCGTTGTGCTCCCATGCCCCCCCTCGCTGCCTTGGCGTTCGACATGGGCGCGAAGCTCCGCGGGGGAAGGCTTATAGCTAGGGGGATGGCAGTATATGCGGTTCTTCACTCCCGTAGCTTTGCCCGCGATGAGCCGCGCGGTACGATGTGCGTCCGCCGCGTGCCCCAATTGTCGGACCCCCACCAGCTCCTGATACAAGTACTTGCGGTGGGTCGCATAACCTTGCCGTGCCGCTCTTCGAATGTAGTACGTGGCCTCGTTGATCTCGCTCTTAAGGGTGTGCAATTAGACTTCGTGCTGGCCCAGAACTTCCCCATGGACCTGTCACAGGTGGGCAAGTTGGTCGCGTAGTTGTCGGCGAGCTCGTAGTTTCTCGAGGCGTATGTGTCGCCAATGGGTGACCTCGTCGTGTCCGTGTCTGGCTCCGTGAACTCCAAAATGAGCTTGAGCGGTGTCCAACAAGGTCTGGGCCCACAAGTCGTAATCGAAGTCAGGGTGCGGCAGGTCGGCATAGTCGGAAAGCTGGTTGGTAATGTATTTCATACGCTGGTCGTGCTCTCGGTGGGATCCGAGTCTATCTTCGCCATGTTGTAGTGCTCGTGCTAGTTTGGTATAGTCCCATCTGGGTCGTAATTGGCGATGGACGAGCGTCGGCATTTCGTAGTCAATCGTGAAAAAGAACAAGGGGAGGTGGTCTCTGAGTTGGGCGTCGGGGATGAGTTGAAGCTTACGTCCTCGTTTCCCAGCCACAGTGCACGTCTTAATCCCTTCGAGGAGGGATGATGCAATGAGGCCAATGTCTATTGTGCTGGTGTCCTATCTAGGTCCGTAGTACGTCGGCCCTGCGCTCGGGTAGTAGGTACTCACGCACGCCACGTCGATGGACTCCATGGTGTTGTACATCAAATTGCTTGCGATGCCGCTCCGCTTGAGATGAAAGGCGCCGAAGTGCTTCTCGTCTGGGTCGAGTCTAGTCTCCTCCGTCATCCTCTGGCCGAACCCCGAGTTGATGTCGAAGCCTGCGACGGGTGTGCATCGAGCTGGTGCGCTCGCCAGTCGACTATGGATGTGCTGCATGGTCAGCTCGATGCTGCGCTGTTGCGCTCTTTTTGCCGAGCCCGTCTCGTAGAGTGGAGGGGGGTAGCCCGTAACCGCCAGGATGTCGAAACCACCTGACTTGATCCGAATGTCACCTGCTCTGCCCTCCAGTCCTCGCGGCGCTGGAGTGATGGAGGAAATATGGTTCCGTCGCAATCGTCGTCCCAACACTACGCATGTCCCCGCACAATTTGTCACATACGGTGAGCGCCGCCATCCGGCATGAACTGCAGTCCGTCTGTTGGATAATTTCTGAACGTGATATTGTTTATCTGGCCACTCCCTAACTCGTGTGCCATTGAGAAGAAGTACATCCACGCCCAATACACTCGCAATCTCCTCCAGTCGTGAGCTCTGAATGAGCGACAGTGGGTTGTAGACCACCACACGCAAGAGGAACCGCATGTGATCCCCTCCCAGGATCTTTGTCCACACATCAGATGGGCGGGCGAGGGGTCCATGGGAAGGCGCGACGAATGCGGGGGCCTTCTGCTCGGTGCCTGCTGCGAAGCGTAAGCCGAGGTGGCAGCTATAATGATACTGTAATGCGGATTATGATTATTACGAAGCTGATCATGAGAATGATGATGAGTCTGCTGATGCTGATGATGATGCTGCTGATGATGCTGATGATGCGTGTTATGATGATGCTGCTGATGATGATGACTGACATGATGATGATGCATATGATAATGATGCGCATGATGATGATGATGATGCTGCTGCTGATGATGATGATGATGATGCTGATGATGCTGATGATGATGATGATGACGATGCTGACAAATATTACGGGAAATAGGATGAGGTGGTGGGGGAGAGAAGTGAAGGAGGAGGAACATGAGGAGGATCAGGAGGACGAGTAGGAGTAGGAGGACCAGTGCAAACCCAAGCCGCATCAACGATGTTGCAATAAGCCCTCCCTCCAAAATCCCACCAGCCCTGTAGGGCGTAGGTGGTCTAGGGTGTTTTGTCTTCCATCTGCCCTTCCCCTTCGGGGAGGGGTTTATCCCTCCCCCTCCCCCCTCCCCTGGACCTGGACGGGGCCGGTCGAGAGCGGTCAGGGCGTCCAAAACGGCCTCGGCGAGGAATGCAAAATCGTTTGTTTTACTACGGTGTTGGCCCCGTTTTGGCCGCTTGGGGGAGCAACCCTGATTGAAGCTCCCCTCTTGTTTGATCGATGTCATCCAAGATGGCCCCAAGAGCGCTCCCAAGGCTCCCAAGAGCGCTTAAGAGGGCCCCAAGAGGCGCCCAGGAGGCCCTAAGAGGCGCTCAAGAGGCTCCCAACAGGATCCCAAGAAACCCCCAAGAGGCCCCAAGAAACTCCCCGAGGCACCCAAGACGCTCCAAGAGGCCTCCGGGACCGCCAAGAGGCCCCCAAGACGCTCCAAGATGCCTCCACTGGGGAACCCTTCCTCTGCGTGCTGCCCACTTCCCTGATCGAGGCAACTCCTCTGGCCATCGTTTCTGGATGGGCTGGTGGGGTTACGCGAAGGGTCTAGAGTTCCCTCTTCATCAGCCCCTTCAAGGATTTAATTTCATCGCGGGAAGCGCAACATTTGAAGGCAAGCGTCAGAGAATCCTCAATCGCGCCACAACATCATTCCTGGGATTGTAGCGCCACGAATCAACGTGACTGTTACGCCCCGACCTTCTTACATCGTACCAGATCACAACTCCCGGAGCTCGAATCTTGCAAATCAACATCACATTAACGTCGGGATGATCCTACCGGGGCCAGAAGATTATTCTTGGGACTTCAGCCATACGCTTCTTTGAAATTGGTGCAAGCTTATAAAACCAACTCGTATGGGGCGTTGAAGCGAGAGTCACACGTTGACAAGGAGCTGGCCTCACTCCTTCAACACGATACAAGCTTATGAAATGAATGTGCGCGGCGCTGAAGCGAGAACACCATTTTGAAGACGGCATGGGCTCCATCCTTGACGCTGCTGCTGATCTCGAGCGTCAAAATCATACCCTGCGCGGGGATCTCGGGCGAACCGCCCAGCCGGGCCTTCCGACACGCCTGGAGGAGCGACGGGGCGGAGTTATCTGATGCAGGGAAAAGGGATGGAGGACGAGGGGGGGGGGGGGTGGGAATGAGGAGGAGGAGGAGGAGGAGGAGGAGGAGGAGGAGGAGGAGGAGAAGGAGGAGGAGGAAAAAGAGGGGTGACGAGGAAGAGGAGGAGGAGGAGGAAAAAAGAGGAGGAGGAATAGGAGGAGGGAGGAGGGAGGAGGAGGAGGAGGAGGGAGGAGGAGGGAGGAGGAGGAGGAGGAGGGAGGGAGGGAGGAGGAGGAGGAGGCGGAGTTATCTTATCAGGGAATCTGGACGGAAGACGAAGGGGGGGGAGGCGGGAGGAGGAAGCTGCAGACGATGGGGGGCGGCGTGCACGGACGAGCGGCCGCCGCGCACCGCGCGTGCGCGCGGCCTCGCACGGCCGCTCCCCGTCGCTCCTCGCCTCCGCCGTGGGCTCGGCGCTGGCGCTCGCAGCCTCCCGCTGGGCGCCTCGCCCCCCGCCCTCGCCGCCCCTCGCCCTTTGTGGACTGTGCGGGGGTAGCGGCATCGATGCGGAGAGACACGAGGCACAGTTAGGGGGGACCCCGTGCTAGAAGAGAGCACGCTCTCTTTCCTTCTACGGAGGCTGAGGCGCGTCCGTCACCGGCGCGCCATGATAGCTAAAGGGTCCGCGTGATCCGATATGGCGGCGCCCTCGCCGCCCCGCGCCCTCGCAGCCCCGGGGGCGCGAGAAGCGCGCCCGGCGCGCGCGACGACGGCGGGACGACGACGGGAGGCGCGCCGCCTCTCGGACGACGAGCACCAGCAGCCCGTCGCGAGGAGCAGCGCGCAGAGCGGCAGCCTCTGCCTCATGTTGGCCGTGTTGATCAGCTGCGCCGTCACCTTCCCTTCCCTTCCTCCCGCCCTCCTTCCTCTCCTCCTCCTTTTCCCCCCTCCCTTTTTCATCCCTCCTCCACTCTCCTCCTCCTCCTCCTCCTCCTCCTCCTCCTCCTCCTCCTCCTCCTCCTCCTCCTCCTCTCCTCCTCCTCCTCCTCCTCATCATCCCCCTCATCCCTCCATCCTCCTTCCCTCCTCCATCCTCCCTTCTCCTCCCCCCTCCCTCCCCCCCTCCCTCCCCCCCTCCCTCACTGGCTCCACCTCCTCCTCCTCCCTCCATCCCTCGTCCTCCAGACTTCTCCTCTCCCACTGGCTCCTCAGCATTCATGCATGCATTAGTTCATTCACTCATCGATCCAGGTGCAACTGAAAGGTACAACCAACACAAACCTCATCTTACGTGCTGGTTACAGATAGCCCGAGCGCATCCCCCTCATCCTCATCTCCCTTCCTGCTCCTGCCCATGTTCCTGCTGGTCCTCCTCCTCTTCCTCCTTCTCCGCCTCCTCCTCCTCCTCCTCCTCTTCTCCTCGTCATCATCATCACACTCACACTCACAATCACCATATATAATCATCACCAGCATCATCATCAACATCATCATCATCAACCATTATCATCATCAACGACAGCAGCAGCACAGCATCACTATCAACATCGTCACGACAAGTACTACAATCATGACGACGGTGATCATGATCATGATGATGATGGTCATCATCATCATCAGCATCATCATTATCATCAGTCTCATTCTTATCACTGGCATCGTCATTACCACCGCCATCATCATCACAATCGCCTTCACCATCATCTTCAACATCATCATCGTCATCATCACCATCACTATCAACATCACTACTATCATCGGTGCCACCATCACTATCAACATTACCATCGTCATCACCATAATCAGCATCATCACAACCGTCATCATCATTACCATCCCCATCACTACCATCACCATCGCCATCACCACCACCATCATCACCATCACCATGACCATCATCATCTCGTCATCATCATCATCGTCATCATCATCATAACCGCCATCTTCATCACCATCATCATCATCGTCATCTTTATCATCATCATCATCATCATCGTCAGCATCATCACCACCATCATCATCACCATCATCATCACAAACACCATAAGCTTAACGATCACCAGCATCATCCGGGTCATCGTCATCACCATCACAATCACCATCACCATCATCACCATGACCATGACTACCATCATCAC